CTGTATTCTGTAAATGATTATAAATAAGAGAACTCTCACCACCATTTAGGTGTGGTGGATTAATCAAACATTCTTAGTTTCGATAATTTGTTCTATGAGGTGTAGATAAACGGTTTCCGTTCATATATTAGCAGTAAGAAGCTTTAAAAATGTTTGTTTTAAAAGTCAGGGTATTTGCAACGTGACGAGTCATACCTTGCAAAGTCATAAGAATATCTTGAGCCCACATCGTAGGCTAGTTTACATAACTTGTCAGCCTAAAGCTCTAATACCAACAGGAACGACCCTATTTTTACTACTAAAATAAAGTCGCTACTACATGACATAATATGAAATGAAAAAAAATCTTTAAAACATTTTAAAACGGTGCCATGCACTTTATGTTCAAAATAAAATCATTAAACAACTATAGCAAAGACAACATCGTGAAATTTAAATAAAAATATTATAAAGAACAAAACAATGCCCGGATCTAATCTAAGGGCTACAACCAACGTGAAAAAACATCTACCCTACCTTTAGTCTCATGGTCGTCACCACGATACTGTCATCTATACAGAGGTGTCTTGCCTTTACTAAAAAGTAAGAGTAGCAGTGACTTGAGGATTTTAAGAAATACTCCGTAAGTAGATACTACCGGGATCAAGAAATGCAATCACATACAATCATGTGGGGGAACTATCATTTTATGGTTTTGGTCTTAGTAGAATTGGATGTGCAGTATTTCTCTACACACGACCCACGCTGATAAGAATTTGATTAAACTTAGAAAAGAGAAATTTTATGCTAATTTTAATAAGTGTAGTTTTTGCATAGAAAAAGTTAACTTTTTTGGCTTCATAGTTGGTAAAAATGGAGTAGAAGGAGATGAAGAGAAAGTTAAAGCAATCAGGGATTGGCCAACACCACAAAATGCAAGTGACGTTTGTAGTTTTCATGGTTAGCTAGCTTCTATAGGAGATTTATAAAAGATTTTAGCACCATAGCTACACCATTGAATGACTTGGTGAAAAAGAATGTTGTTTTTAAATGGGGAGATATGCAAGAGAATGCATTTAATGAGCTTAAGAATAAATTAACCAATGAACCATTACTTGTTTTGCCTAACTTTGATAAAACTTTTGAAATTAAGTGTGATGCAAGTGGTTTGGGCATAGGTGCTGTTTTGATGCAAGATGGCAAACCCGTAATGTATTTTAGTGAAAAACTAAATGAGGCAGCATTGAACTATCTTACCTATGATAAAGAATTGTTTGCTTTAGTTCGCACATTGCAGGTGTGGCAACACTACTTATGGCCTAGAGAATTTGTGATCCACTCTGATTATGAAAGCTTGAAGTATCTTAAGGGTCAAAGCAAACTGAACCGTAGGCATGCAAAATGGGTGGAGTTTATTGAAACATTTTCGTATGTCATCAAATATAAGCAAGGTAAGGATAATGTGGTAGCTAATGCATTATCTAGAAGGTACAATCTTTTTACTTCTCTTAGTGCAAAAATTCTTGGATTTGAGCATATTAGAGAATTATATCGAGATGACCACGACTTTGGAATTATTTATGCATCTTGTCTTACAAAAACAGTTGTAGATGATTATTATGTGTTTCATGAACTCTTATTTAAAAAAAGTAAGCTTTATATTCCTAAAAGCTCTATCCGAGATTTGCTTGTTAAAGAAGCACATGGTGGTGGCTTAATGGGACATTTTGGGATTAATAAAACTTATAATATGTTGCATGAACACTTCTTTTGGCCGAAAATGAAGCATGATGTTCATAAATTTTGTAGTCAATGCTTTAAATGCAAAGAAGCTAAATCTAGATCACAACCAAATGGATTGTACACTCCTTTGAATGTACCTAATGAACCTTGGACTAATATATCTATGGATTTTGTTCTTGGTTTACCGCACACTAAAAAGGGTAAAGATCGTATTTTTGTTGTGGTAGACAGATTTAGTAAGATGACTCATTTTATTGCATGTAACAAGACGGACGATGCAAAACAAGTTGCTGACTTATTTTGTTAGGGAATAGTAAAATTACATGGAATCCCTAGAATAATTGTTAGTGATAGGGATGCTAAATTTCTAAGTCGCTTTTGGAGAGTATTGTGGGGTAAATTGGGTACCAAATTGTTGTTTTCAACTACATGTCATCCTCAAACGTATGGACAAACTGAGGTGGTTAAAAGAACATTAGGAGCATTGCTTAGGGCTATTATTTCTAAGAATATTAAGTCTTGGGATGAATGTTTGTCATTTGTAGAGTTTGCATATAATAGAATAATTCATAGTACAACTCATTGTTCTCCTTTTGAAGTTGTTTATGGATTTAATCCACTTACGCCTCTTGATTTGCTTCCTATTTCTTCTAATATGTTTGTGAGTGACACAGCCACAAGTAAGGCAGACTTGATCAAAACATTGCACAAGGAGGTGAAGGAGAGAATTGAGACCCAAAATCATTTTTAAACCTGGTGACTAGTTTGGATACATTTTCGCAAGGAGCGATTTCCGTCTCAACGGAAGACAAAGTTACATCCAAGAGGGGATGACCCTTATAAAGTCCTTGGAAGAATTAATAACAATGCATATAAAATTGATGTAGGTGATGATTTTTCTAATTCGAGGACGAATTCTTTTGAAGAGGGAGAAGATGATAAGAATCACGGTGTTCCATCCTTTTGAAGAGGGGGAAGATGATAAGAATCTCGGTGTTCCATTCTTTTGAAGAGGGGGAAGATGATAAGAATCACGGTGTTCAATCCTTTTGAAGAGGGGGAAGATAGATGATAAGAATCACGGTGTTCCATCCTTTTGAAGAGGGGGAAGAAGATGATAAGAATCACGGTGTTCCATCCTTTTGAAGAGGGGGAAGAAGAATCACGGTGTTCCATCCTTTTGAAGAGGGGGAAGATAGATGATAAGAATCACAGTGTTACAGGGGGAAGATAGATAATAAGAATCACAGTGTTCCAGGGGGAAGATAGATGATAAGAATCATAAGAATCACGGTGTTCCAGGGGAAAGATAGAGGATAAGAATCACGATGTTCCAGGGGGAAGATAGATAATAAGAATCATAAGAATCACGGTGTTCTAGGGGAAAGGTAGAGGATAAGAATCATAAGAATCATAAGAATCACTGTGTTCCAGGGAGAAGATAGATGATAAGAATCACGATGTTTCAGGGGGAAGATAGATGATAAGAATCACGGTGTTCCAAGGGGAAGATAGATGATAAGAATCATAAGAATCATAAGAATCACGGTTTTCCAGGGGGAAGATAGATGATAGGAATCACGGTGTTCCAGGGGGAAGATAGTTCCAAGGGGAAGATAGATGATAAGAATCATAAGAATCATAAGAATCACGGTGTTCCATTGGGAAGATAGATGATAGGAATTACGGTGTTCCAGGGGGAAAGTTCTAGGGGGAAGATAGATGATAGGAATCACGGTGTTCAGGGGGAAAGTTCCAGGGGGAAGATAGATGCACGGTGTT